CGCTGCGGAGTGAGCCGCCCGCGCCCACGGGAGGCGCGCGGGGCGCCGGCCCACCCGTGAGGTCTGTCAGAGACGGGCTGTCTCCAGCTCCAAGTACCGCCTGTGTTTATGAATATTTCCACAACTATTTAAACTGCCAAATAAAATCCAAACGCTTTTCCATGATTGGAGGTTAAAAAAAGAAAAAAAGAAAAAGAGGCGGGCTGGAAGCCGGGACACCGAGGCAGAGACGGTCAGGGAGAAGTTTGGATTCCAGGCCCGGGTCGGGAAAAAGGCAGTGGTCGGGGAGCCGGAGAGGACAGTCCGGCTGCCCGTGGGAGGGCCTCGGGGACCGTGCAAATCCAGGACTGACATGAGCCGTGAGCGGGCTGCACCGCCTTTGAAAAGTGATGCCCTCCCGGGGCCTCACCTCCCCGGGCCTCATCTCCCTGGGCCTCACCTCCCCGGGCCTCACCTCCCCGGCCTGTGAAGAGGGCGACCCAGCACGGCGACTCCCTGGCTGGGCCCGACGCCCTGCAGCCCTCAGACGACTCAGGTACGAACCTGACCACAGAGTTTTACAGGCCGGTGGGTTTACACGCTAAAGGCACCTCCCCACAGCCCACAGAGCACAGGAGCAACCTGCGCGCGTCTGCGAAGGGAGCGTCTGCTGTCAATCCACGTATCCATCTGTGTGGGATGCACTCCCCGCCGACTTCATAAAGACAACCCAGATGTGATTACATCTGCAAATAGAACGCACCACGTCGTCTGTCCGAAGGCAATAAAAACATCTCTCTCCTTCACTAAGGGAACGCCCTCTGGATATCCCATTTCACTGCTGCTTTTAGGACGTCTGGACCAAGTAGCAGGTGTGGGGCAGAAGCCTAGGCAGTCCCCTAGGAGTGCACCGTTCTCTCTCTCCGCCGGCGTCTGAAGGACCAGGGGAGCCGTCCGCAGAGAAGCCACAACCAGAGTGGACTGCCTCACCCAGCTCCACGCGAAGGCCCAGGCGTTCAGAGGTGAGGAGAGAGGTCCCCTCTGCGGGGAAGGAGGCTGGTCTGTTTCCACTTCTTGCAGGATCGTTCGCCGCTGTCCTGGATGGACATCCACGGCTCTCCTCCTTTGTCCGTGTGTAGAATCTCACCTTGTGATGGAGAAGCAGCCATTGCATGAGGTTACGTGCTAAGTCTCTATACTAACTCCTGAGATCGGGTCCTTGTCAGCCTCCCTTCTTTTTGCTCCTCGTGCTGAAAGTATCCGGGAAATACTCTTTCCTTCTCTTCCTGTGAGATGCTCGTTTTCAAGCCTTCTGAGACACCTGTGGTTTTTTCCCTTTCTTCAAAGACTTTTCCTCCTAATACGTCTAATGGAACTTGGCTGGGAAGGAGAAAAGGGGACTGAAAGAGGAGAATGATGAAAAACATTGTCTAAATTGTAGAAATGACAGCCAAAAAGCGTGCTGAGTTACTTCACACCAGAGCGGGGAAATAGGAGCTGTTAAAAGAATGTCATGGTTGGGAGGGTCTGGAAAGGCTTGTCACCTCGTCCTGGTCAGAAGCAGCCACCCAATGCGGGTGTCTGTCTGTCCCACTGGACGTTTTCTGGACAGCGTTTCAGAATCCTGCCTTGGCACCTGATCCGCCCTGGGCCAGAGCACCATCTTGAAGTCCAGCGGAGCCTGACCTGACTCGAGCAGGGCTCCGTCCTACAATGCTGGCATTGGAGATCACATTCTTCTTTTGTGTTTTCCTGAGGGTGTTTCTGTGTTTGTCACGAGCACCCCCGGCCTCCACACGAGGGGACCCCGTGTGGATGGACGTGGTGCAGAGGAGCCCAGCCCCACTCAGACCCTGGCAGGAGGAGCTGGACAAGGTGCAGCTGAAATGAGCAGCTCTCAAAATCAGAGCGCGTCACCCCACCATCCACAGCAACTGAGCGTGCACCCACCCCAGGTACACCCTTCCTTCCGCGCTGAAACCCACGGGAGCATCACCAGGAGCCAAGCCTGTCTCCCTGCCCCCGGCTTGACAGTCAAGTCGACTTTCTATCCTGGACCCCTCTGCGCGCCCCCCTCCCTCCCCACTCCCTCTTCCCACCCCACTCCTGCTCTCCTCTGCTATCCCGGGTACGCGCGTGCACGTGCACGTGCACACGCCGCCACCAGCATCAGCACCACTCGGTATTTGCTCTGTGCAAGCAAGGAGGCAGGTAAACACATCAAAAGGGATCTGACATCTGTTTCTGGATTATTAAGGGTCACAGGTTGTGAGAATGGGAGGGAAAACCTTCCCTCCGCCTAATGCTGAAAGCCTCTCCTGTGGTGAGGATTACATTTACTCATGCGTACGTGACACGGAGCCGCACGCACACACGGACACCCCACACACGTGCACAGAAGAGTAAACAACGTCCTTGGCGAGCTGATCACTGGTCTTCGGACCTTTTTGCTGCAGGACAGAAGCTTTTCTAGGCATTTCTTATAAGACCTGTTTTCACTCTTTTACTCACTCTCTCTTCTGGGACTGCCACCATTTCTCTCCAACATTTTTCAGTTGCAGAGACTAACACCAGCCACAGCATGTAAGGAAGGCCCAACCAGCGCCAACGAGATGTTTTATTTCCTCCCTTTGGCAAGTGGAAAATCTCCATCGTCTGTCACAAGCACGCGTCACGTTCCAGGGGCATCGCCTCTGCAGAAGCCCAGCGAGCCCCCGCCCTCCCCGAGGATGCTGGCCTCTTCAAACGCAAGCTGAATTTTGAGTTTTTTAGCCAGATGTCTATTCATGGACTCTGAGAACCGTTGTGTTTTTAGCCACATTATTGTTTATAAACAAGGAGCCTCAGGAAGAGCTGGCTTGATTTAGGTAGCATGTTTTGAAAGTAAATGTGGTTAAACCATAATTTCTGCAAATGATGTGTCATTGACCAGGATAAATAGTTAGAAGGAAAAAAAAGGCATTTTAAGATGTTAGAGTAATATTTGTGGGTGAAAATGACTGGTTATAATCTCGTCCCTAATCATACTGGCTAACAGTCTCACTCCCCTTTCGTCCCACTTCCTGAACTCAGAAATGATAGAGACATTATCTGAGGAAGAGTTGAATTCATCCCGGTTTGTATAACACTCTTTCCTCAAAACGTGAAATGTAATCAATCTTTGGATGCTCGATGTCGTAACACTACTGGGGGAAATCGGTTTCACATGAGGAGAAAGGCGACGACCCGTGGGATGAGTTCCCCCGGGGCCCCCCGTCGTTAAGTCTCTCCTCGCGGGAGGAGCGGGGTGGACATCCGCACAAGTCGGGGAGGAAGAGAGAGCAGTGCGTCTGCTTCTGAGGCTTAAGGGCCAGATTCCAGCAATACTCTCTCAGGATCATTAAGAAGGGCCCCTGGAACCACCTCAGAGACGCCGAACACACAACAAAAGCTCCTTAGTTTCATGCAAATTACAGACCCGGCAACTCCACACTCGGTCCCAATCAACCTGAAAGCACCTTCCAGAGAGGCTCAGGATCCAAAACACACGTTTCCGCGCCCCTGAGACCTCCGTCCAGGTTTCAGTGCAGCACGGTCCCCTGCGGCCCGGTCCCCTGCGGCCCGGTCCCCTGCGACACCCTCAAAAGCAGGCTCTCTGTTTCTACCCTCCGCCTAATGGTAAGGGGGTCACTACAAACACCTGTATTGAATTTCACAGGCATTGGGTGGATGTGAGGATAGTTCAGGACAAAAATAAACTAAGCTCTAGGACACGGTGGGTGTGACATAAGTCTGTGAACATTACCTTTTTCTTCGATGCCTCTGACTTCTTTGACATGCTCTTCAGCTTTTTATGCAAATGCTTAAGGACCTGAAAAACACAGAGTGATAAAATCGGTTTGCCTCGGACCCCGCAATTCCTCATCCGTTTCTCATTCACAGCACTCGGCATTCTGAAACGGGAACAGAATTCTTGATAAACTCATTCAAACTGAAATGCACATGAGGTGTGGAGTAACGCTGACTATGAATGGCTGGTGACATCTGTTGTCTAACATCAGGGCAGTTTATGGGGGGAGCACCTGTGTGCCGACAGTTCTGGTCCATGTAGCTCCGAAGTTTTGTCCACTGCTCCCCGTATACATACCCTTGTTGGTCAGCCTTCCACCTCAGTTCCCCCAGGATTCTACCTTTTCAACCATCACCAGGCCCCTGCTGTGCATTAAAACCTAGAGCCCGCCCTCCAGCGCACCACGCGGTGGGGAAAGGAGGCACGCGAGCAAATGACGACCGCAGGACTCATCCATGCGGCCAGCGTTCGCTTCAACGCTTTCCTTCCTTTTCCCTGTGAGGTTGGTATTCACTGCAAGTCTCCTTAAAGCAAATCTGCACCTGTTAGACTCCCCTTCATTCTTGGTTTGGATCTTACCCACTGTATGATGCTTCTAGACAACTTACACGTGGGAAATTCAGCATCACGGATGAAGGACAGCCCATCCAGCAAGGTTCTACAAGGAATACCCCGTCAGCAAGGCTCCTGGGAGACCTGACCTCCTTCACTGGAGAAGCTAGTGTTGTCAGGGCCAGCATAACTCCCAGAAGTGAGGCAGGCACGCTGGTTCTAGGTAAGACTTCACGACGTAAGCCGTATGACAGGGCCAAGACGGCTGTACACATACCAGGCTGTCCCATCCAAGTGGAAAAGCTAAAGAAATTAGCTCTGGGTGACTAAGGGTTTTAGATCATCCATCAGTTGCTCAGTGAGTCTCTCCAGAACCCGGAAGCAGCGCTGCAGCGGCGTCTCGGGCCCCCTCTAGCGCCCCGGCACGGAAGTAGCTTAATTGAATTGGACTTATTGCGAGAGTCAGCTCCGGGGGGCAGGACGCAGCAGTGTGACTGCGCAGGAGGTATCAGTCACTCCTTAACGAGACGCCCTGGGAGGTGCTCACCGCCTCACAAGCCCTGTGCACATTAAGCACCATCACTGGGGTGCGGATTCATGACTCTGAATTCCCAGCCCTGCGGGAAGACCTCCACTTCCCGCAGCCGCTGCACGCCCTCCACCAGACGCGCCTTTCACCTGCTCCGGGAGCCTATGGGATCACTCTCAGCGCACTAACGCGCTAGTGTCCCATTCTGCCCACAAAACCTGGGGTCCTAAAAACTGAACGAAAGGCAAAGAGAGCAGAGGGGCTTTGGCAGGAACAAATGAGGAAGTCTTTCAAGGGGAAGGAAGGGGCTGGACAGGACCCTGCCTGGAGATGACAGCGTGGCGAGGCTCCTTGGGGGTGGCCTTCCTGGAAGACGACAGGAGGACACTGGTCACTGAAAGCAAGGAGCGGAAGGAGGGACAGCGAAGCAAAATCAGAGAGGGACACAGGAGAGGACACAGCGCTAAAAAGTCAAATGTTGGCCGCTTCACAGCGCCGCCTGCGGGCTGCTCATTCCTGCAACTGACTCATCTCAGTAACTGCAAAACCCCTAAGGGGCACTGTTGAGTGGTCAGCGGGGAAAACACCCAAGGATGTTTCAAGAGCCCAACTCTGACCCACGCTGATAACGCTGTGATGCATCCCACATGGGTGAAGATCTGTCACCCACGGAGGAGCAGGTGGGCATCGCCATGGGCTACGCTCACATTCCTTCAGGACATGGTGACGGTGGCCTGGCGGCATTGCCCCGTCTTGCTGCACATTTAGGAGTGTGTGTAGACAAGCCTACACTCAGACCTGAGCCAGAGACGTTCCTGGGATGTGGAGGAGCTTGGGGGGGTTGGGGGGAGGTCAAGAGGTCATCCTCATGTCTGACCAAAGAGGGTCCAGACAAGCCTTCCCTCTGCGGAAAGAGAGTGAGGCACCAGCCCTGCTAGAACAGCCCCCCAGCAGGGGGAGCAGCGGCTCACTCTCCAGCCCACACATTCGTGCTTTGGGTGCAAAGAAAAAGAACCTACACGTGCAAGAACAGAAGTCAACTCTGGCATGCGATCCTTTGCTAAGTTAAAAGAAAGAAAGAAAGAAAAACGTTGTGATTTTAAGTGCCCTTTGATCATTTGTGATTTTCCATGGTGGCCATCAGACCTGGAATGTCACGTTTTAGCAGCAGAATCTTTCACTGGCCGGCACACACTTAAAGACCAAGCTAAAGGAAGCAACTGGAAATAACTGGCCTCCACCTTCTCAAGCCCTGGATTGAATCTGCAAATATTACCTTGAATTCCAGAAATGTCCAGTTATGCTTAAAAGCAAACTATTTCCATTTTTAAAATATCCCAACGATGAAGTATTTATTAATTTAAAAAAGTATGTTAAAATGTTTCCCTATGGGTGACTTTTATAAATTCTCAGATGACACAAATGTAGCCTAATTTATTCCGAGATGTTCACCTTGTTGTTTCTGTTAAAGAGACCCAAATTACATCCCCCGAAGTCTTTCAGGAAATGAAGGAAGACTATGCTTCAAGTCCAATCCACGTAATTATGAATGAAGAACCAAATATTTAAGAATCCCTCTAGTTCCAGCCTCCGGACCCCCAGGCTCTCAGTAACTGCCCCTCCCTCAGGGGGCTGGGACTAAAATCCTGCACTAAAATCCTTCCAGAACTGTTTACTGGCTTCACAGTCTGAGTCAGTTGCTTCACTCCCCCCAAACCCTCTTTTCTTATCAATAAAATATGCACACTAGCTCCAACCCACGGGGTTGCCTGCAGACTAAGTGAGACAGTGCACACTTCAGACCACCATGCTGTGCCACATCCTCTGATATGCATTTGCAGAAGGCTAAGTGAATAAACCAGGCATTTACCAAAGAGCTCAGCTAGAGTTAGCTTCCAATTTCCCTGTCTCTACTCTGTCTCTTTTATATATAACCCTCCAATGCAGGAATAGTTTTAAAACTTTTCCCAAAAAATTACCATTCAAAATAGCCATAACTCTCTATAGATGACATGGGGGGAGGGAAATTGTCAGCTGGCTTATAAAGTCAGCATTTCTGCTGGGGGAAAAAAATTCCTCTGTCAATGGAATATAAGAAATCATTGCTGTTCTATCTCCTCTGATAACTCAGAGTCCTGTAGTCACAGCCTGATCAGAAAGAGAACGAGAGACAGAGAGAGACGTGAAGACAAAATGGTGGAAATTTCAGAATTTGGTTACAAGTCTTTCTCTACTTGGAGAGGGCATGTCAGGAACAAAGGGTTCTACCCCGTGAATCAGGACATGATGGCTCTTACTCTGACACAGGCAAGCTGTGTAAAAGGTGTAAGGCTTTTTGATCAGTATAAAATCTTCAAAACCGAGTGTTATTAATGAAAGAGGATGTGATTTTGCTGAGCTCTGCGGGGCTATGTACAGGGGTGGTAAGAGCAAATGTCCCCATAAGGAGGTGCAGGGTGGCTGGACCAGGGATGTATCAACAGTGTGCCTCTCAGAGGTGGGGGCAGCCCTGCCACCTGAATCACGTAAGATGTTTACCCCTTTCTAAAAGGATCGAAACCGGAAAACACTGCAGCTGGAAACCCACCCATCCGAAGTTCTCTAGAGACCCCGCTCAAGACACCGTGAAGAAACCCTGTTTAACCACTTGGGTTTAATAACACGTGACTTGTATGTAAAATAATACTCAAAGCTTGGTCCCAGGAGCAGTGGCTTCGCAGAGCCGATCCCTGCCCATGTCTCCGTGCGCCCCGCGGGCAGGGGAGTCTCCCCATCGGCCCCGGCTGCGGGCTGGGATGGGGCGCGGCTCCGTGCGCCGGCTGACCCAGCGCGGGCCCTGGCCCTGCGGCCCCGCGGAGCGATGCTCTCGCAGGCGGGTCTCACCTACTGAGAAGTGGGCGGGATTGCCCTCCCCTGGGACCGCCCCACCGCCCAGGGCTGCTGCGAGGGCCGGGAAGGACGCCTGGGAAGTGACCTGACAACTTTCCCTGGCGTCGCCCAAACACCAAGAAACTTTCTCGCGCAACGTCAAACCCGCGAGCCGAGGCCAGGGCCTCCGGAGATGGTTCTCCGCGCAGTGCCCCCAGGAAACTAAGGGGAACGAGGGCATGGGGAAGGGGCGGCTGCGGGGCCCGGACACAGGTGCGACTCGGGTCTGTGGGGGCCCGCGCCCGCCCGCCCGCCCCGCGCCCCACCTTGGCATAGCAGAAGCAAATGAGCAGCAGCGGCAGCAGGTAGCCGAAGACGAAGGTGCACACCACGTAGGCCTTCTTGTGGCGCTGGTTGGCCCACTGCTCCCAGCAGAAGGTCTGGTTGCTGACGTCCCGGTGGAAGAGGCGCTGGTGGTAGGCCACCGGCGAGGCCATGGCGATGGACAGCACCCAGATGAAGCCCACGCCCAGCAGCGCGTTGCGGGACACCCGCAGGGAGGAGGAGCGGCGCGAGTGCACGATGGCCACGTAGCGGTCCACCGACATCGCGGCCAGGGTGAAGATGCTGACCAGCATGGAGACGGTGAAGAAGTAATGGATAAACTTGCAGACGAAGGCGCCCAGCACCCAGGTGGGCAGCGCGTACACCGTGGCCTGGAAGGGGATGCAGAAGAGCAGGTAGGCCAGGTCGGCGATGCTCAGGTTGAGGATGAACAGGTTGGTGGTGCTGCGCGGCTTCCCCGGCTTGCTGCGCGCCAGCACAGTGATCACCAGGCTGTTGCCCAGCACGCCAAGCGCGAAGATCAGGCCGAACACCACCAGGGTGATGAAGTTCTCCACGCCGATGCCGAAAAGCGGCCTGGGCTCCGGGGCGGGGGACTCGGGCCCGCTCGCGTTCCCCTCGCTGAGGTTCCCGGCCGCCAGCTCCATGGCTCGCGGGAGCGCCCGGGGCGCGCTGGCGAGGGGTGTTGGCCGGGGAAAGAGGGCGCAGAGGTTCCCAACCTGGGCACGCAGAGCGCGGGTTTCCGAGCCTGAGCCTCCCTGATGGGCAAGCGCCTGGGCGTCCGAGTTTAGGGGCACTGTTTGCACCCGGCGGCAGCCCGAGCTGCACCTTCCCGGACCAGGGCGGCTGGCCCGAGCGCGCGGAGCTCCGCCTTTCTGGGTACCACCGCCCGCTGAGGGACCACCCAGCTGGGGAGGAGGGACCTGCCGGTGCAGCCCTGGGGGTGGAGAGAGCGCTGCGTCTTACCGGCTCCAGGCCCCTGCAGGTCGTTTCCTTCGGCCTGGGAGTGGCGTTGGGCTGCACCTGTTGCTCTGAGCCGCTCCCTTCCCGCAGCGCTCCCGGGGCCCAGCCGCGCGCGCAGCAGCGCACCGGCGCGGTTCCTGGAGAGGGTTCCCCGCGCCTCCCAAGCAGCGGGCGCCTCTCCCGCCTCGCAGTTTTTGGTCAAGAGAGCAAGGGTTCTGTGCCTTCGCGGCGATTGGCTGGGGCTGTGCTCCGGGGCCTCTGCGTTGCAACTGAGACGTTGCGGGGGCTCAGCCCGGCTGAAATTCCGGCCGCCTGGGGGCCTCCCCGTCCCCCCGGAAGTCAAGGCGCGCGCAGAGACTGGACGAATCCTAATGGGATGGGTCGCCGCCTACCTCCTCGCCGCGATCAGCCCAGCGCGCTCTGCTCTGCGCGGGGCCGACCTGCCTGCTCCAGCGAGGGAGGCAGCGGCGGGGACAGCACCCGCCCGGGCGAGGGGAGCTCGCGCGCCCAGGGCGCCCTGGGCGGGGAGGCGGGCGGCGCAAAGGCCTCCTAACCCGTCAGCGCCACTCATCTCTCGCCTTCCTGGGGTGGCAGTCGGGAGAGCGCACCGGCCCCGGGAATAAAGCCCAGGAAATCGGCGATTGGCCCTGCTGGGACCTGGAGCTTTGTAAAATCCCTAATCCTCACCCTTACTCTGCCGGCTGCTAGGGAGGAAATAGGAAAGTAAAACTATCGGCCTGTTTGAGTTTTCTTTAGAAACGTGGATACGATGAAAGAGGAATGTGTCCTGTTCACATCATCCAACTTCACATCAGTTCTGCCTTAATGTTACTCATCTGAGTGGCATAAACAGAGGACATGAACTGTTTGCAAAGTGCAAAGAACGTGTTTAATACCTCTGTTGTCAACTGTGGGTCTGCCAACAAAAAAGTTGAGCTGTTTGAGTCTAGGAGTGTCAGGAAACATTACCCTTGTTTATAGAGGGCAGAGATCGATCCACTGATTTGCAGTGTTTATATAATTTATCTGTGTTCACTTTCAGGAACCTTAGTACATGTCCAGCATTTCCCAGATGTTGCCTGAGTGCACATTATGCACCGGATGCAGTGTTTGAGGGGACGGGGAATACAAAGATGAACAGAGTGCAGCGATCCCTGGGTAGGAGACAAAAATTTACACATAGAGCCCGGCAGGTGCACTGTATGTAAAAGACACATTACATGTATGTGTGTGTGTGTGTGTGTGTGTGTGTGTGTGTGTGTGTGTGTGTGTGTGTG